AATTGGAGGGCTAGCCGGTGCATCCCGGTGTGCATGCATGGGTATAGAATTTTTTTCTTTAATGAAAAGAGGGGCATGAGGTAGTTACATATATATATACATGCAGGGCACTTTTTTTTTCTTCTAAGTATGATGATGTGAGCATGCTGCCGGAGGCACGAATTAACATGTCCACCATCCATGGTGAGCTAAGATGAATAATTTGCTTAGTTAGACTCTGCATAATATGTTAGATATTCTACATATCCAATGGTTAGAAATAATGGTCTAAAATCGAGGGTCATATATTTTGTTTAATAAATTAATTAATAATATTTCTATATAAATCAGTAGAGCCATTAATTATGTATGGTTTCTGTATGTAATGTCTTTTATAACTTAAGTTTTCTCTCTTTCACTATGAAACTCACAATTTCCTATGAGGAATAATCCATAGCAATGACCAATCGATGTTTGCCGTCAAATTATAAATTAATTATCATTTTTTCTAAAAAATGGGTAGAGCCATTAATTATATATGGTTGTATATGTAATGTAGTTTTCTGTCTTTCCCTGTGGAACCTCAAGAGTCATATGTCTTATTAACCATTTTTTATACCGTAAGTTACCAACCCTAATCTCTAATAGGTAATTTTATAAATAACAATTAAATTCGTCATGCAATTCTAACAAAGAAAATTCATGGAAAAAAACACAATTTTGAAACGTTGCATATATTATTTCGCTGGTATACCGCATTTATATGTTCTCAAATTAATCCTACGTACGGTACATGCCCGCGCGGATGCGCGGGCTTCCATACAAAGGATATAGCTCGTCTATGGATTTCCTGCGGCCTCTCATAATCCCATCGTTGATTTGTTTGTTGATGCATGATAGATTGAAATTCGAATGTCCTCGAAATGGTAGTGTACTGATTATTATGAAAATACAGATAATACTATATCTCCCTATCCTACTACCTTCTTTCTATCTGATCCAAAATTTCGACCTTGGCAGCAGTAGCGGCGGCGGCGGCTTCCTTTGGCACTTTCTTAAAACCAGCCGACCACACTACATCAAGCAAAAAAGAACAAAATAGAAGCTAGAAATGTTGGCTCGACACTCCACAGCACAAGGGCACAGATAAGATATCGATACTTGGTTGGACTTTGATCGACATTGTCTATGTAGGAATACTGTAACCCATGAATTGAATTTTCGATGTCTCCGATTCCTATCAGTATTTCATAAGAAATGAGAATATGATGTCCATCGCTGCAGGCTGGGGTGATCTTTTCATGTGAGAAGAAACAAGGAACTATGGTGCTGGCATATATAAGGAGATTATTTTGTTTGGGTAGGATTGTTAAATTTGGTAGCACATTCATTGCAAGATAATTGAAGATGGCACTGGAACAGGTCTCTACACGGTAGTGCTACATTGAATATCACTCCATCAGCGAAACAAAAACAAACAGAGGGTTCCCGCAAAAAAAAAAAAAAGAAGAAACAAACAAACAGAGTGGAGTTAGCATCTAAGAAGAAAACAGAGGCTAGAAATGTTGGCTTTGTTAGAAATGGGCAAGATCATAAACAAACATACACAAATACGAGAGTGAGTAACAGGGCTTGCAAAGCTTGACAATGGCAACGAATGCCGGCTTTTTTGTATTTTTAACTCGGTGATAAACAACCGGATGAACATGTACTTTTATAGGCCCAGGGTGACGCACAAACAGAGCACGAACTCCATCCCCGACCTTTGCTCGCATGATCCTCACATCCCAGCTCACGCCAAGCATGAGCACATACTCAACGCACGACAAGGCCAGCGCTCCATCTGAACCCGAAACACACGCTCACAGCTAGCCTGCGCTAAACTCGGACGAACCTCCATGTGACGAACACACATGACACACATGGACCGACCTGAACACATACGGTCAGGTTTCTAACAAGCTTGACACTCCACACACTAGTACAGAAAAAGGTTATTGGTGCTAGATGGGAACCGGTCATAGGTTTTCCAACTGACACCCACCCAGTAGGAGGCATCTTTCAAAGGTGTCGGTTTAGGAACCGACACCTTTAAGGTTTCAGGAAAAAAAAGCAGGCTTGATGCATCACCTTAAAACTTCAATGGAAATTTAATGGACTTGTGTATTCCGAGAAAAAAAATGTGTCCATTCCGTGGAGACAAATCTCTCTAATTGCGTCATCAATAGAAAGTCGAAACTGGCGAGCAATGTTACGTGGATGGTTTATGGCACCATATTGATGCATCGCAATACATAGTACGCGCCTCTCCATCATGGCTGTCCATGGCTGTCCAGCGTGTGCTATTTTGGTGTGTTTAGCTTTCAGCAATTCTGCTCTCAAGGCCTCAACTGAGATTTAACGAAAATGCGTACTATAAGCTTGTTAGAGCTTGATAGTCAACCTATTGCACTACAAGCATTGGCACAATCACTAGGTCTACAGATGAAAGGAGATAAATAGTGTGTAATACCAAAGGATTCCCAATGCCTCCTAGCCCAATGTGTTGCCTCCAAAATATGTTTCCTCCATGTCCCTGTGACCATGTGTTACTACTCTTGCTTTTTTTTAAGCTATTGTATAAAAGCATCCATAGTGCATAGTTCATGTGGGGTACTAGAGGTGGGGCACACATCCCTCATAGCAAACTAGAGAAACTTGTTCCAATGTATAAAACACCCCTTAGAATCATCATTGGACACACACACATTAAAATCGAGAGAAGTGAGAGGTGTAGCTTAACACAATGTATTTGACATGTGGACCCAAAAACACCCTCTCTCCATTGGAAGCTGGATCCAGGCACCAGTACTGATATTTGGTCTTAGGATGAGAGCTGCTAAAAAATCAGCCACAATGTATGGGGTCAGCACTATAGTCCCCTAGTACCCTATCAAAAACCAACATTGCAGATGCTCTAAATATGCCCATGGGCATTTCTGTATTGGGTCTTGAAAGTCAATATGAGACCTTTATTTATTTTGGGCCTTTGCATTAACTAGAGATGTACAAGTTTGCATTGCTATATAACACAAGAGGATATATTTTCTTTCGTACACACTACAAATAATAACTCCTATAAAATAACCTTTAGGTTAAACCGCGTCATCAAGACCTTACAACCGATCGGATCAAGTGCCATCGTCTATGTTCATTTCATAGGCATGCAAGCCATGCAAAAACTTGTGGGTACAGTCCATAATCCAGCTAGTCATTTCGAGGAATTGAAAACCGTTGGATCATCATGCAGTGAATAAGATAATGGAACGTTCGTTGTGCCGCAAATCTAATAAACTTCAAGATTGTCCCTTTGGGTTTTGCCGCTGGTTGTAATGAACATATAGCTCTCACCTCTGAGTCTGATGGATGTCAAGTCTGTTCTACGGCTGTAATTGCTTTACATCATAATATCTGTTTTGAACATGGATTATACAGCTGGATAACATATACTAGAAGGCTAGCCGTATATTTTAGAAAATAAAAAGAACTAACTTTTGGTGAATGGTGATGAGGCTTACAAATCGAATTTGAGGAAACTAATATTTGTGTATCTCACCATGTGGAGGCTAGAAAATTTCTCCGGTTCTATAAAAGAATTGCTTCGACTCTGCACCATGACACGATTTCGAAGACGCTCATCTCTGCTGGAGAGCTGGCAATCAGTAAAGATAGAGGGCCAGTATGCCGGGAATTGAAGACGAATTCTCACGAGGCATGGCGTGTGATCCCAATCACCAGAGTATTGGACCTGGCTGAGCTCTTGATCCTTCCCAGTTCACTGAAAAATCCATAACAGACTGACTATAAGGGTTGAGGTTAAAATTGCAACATTAATCAATTTACCAACTATGCGAATGAATTGGTACTGGTATTCCAAAGGAAGGTTATAACACGACCATGGATTCCTGCTGCCTCCGAAACCCATCGTTTGTTGGTGCATGATTGATTTTTTTTATATTTATATTTATATTTATTTATTTATTTTGTGGGGGTGCATGATAGATTGAACTTCTGAACTTCCTCAAAAAAATGTCAATCTATTTCCAGATGTGTGCAAAACAACACTGAGTGCCACGCTTTGTTGTTCAGTCCAGTAGCATAAGGATGCCCTTTTGTACCTCGATCTTGATATAGGAGTAGAGATATCAAGATTCAAGAGGATGGCTCTTTAAAGAAGTGGAAATTATAAAGAAATATGTTTATTTATATACCCTGTTCGTTTCTGCTTGTAGCAGAGGATAAAATTTTAGATTACCGTGGCACACTTTTCAAACTGCTAAACGGTGTCTTCCATTTGAAAACTTTCTATATGAAAGTAGTTCTAAAATATCAGATTAATCCATTTTTCAAGTTTGTAATAATTAAAACTCAATTAATCACACGTTATTATTACCTCGTTTTGCGTGAAGTACTTAATCTTTATCTTCATCTTCAGGAGATTCAAACACCACCTTTAAGGTTACTTAAATTATAGGTTACTTAAATTTTAAGGTTAATTGGATCATGCCACTGCAAATGTGGTAAATCAGAAAAATACCACTACTATTCGCGTTATCGGATGGGTGCCACTAAAAATTTTTAAAATTAGGACCATGCCACTCCCGTCACTATTTCCGTCCTCCTCTCTCACGTCGTCATCCTCTCTCACATCTCACATCTGCACAGGGAGAAGGCGACGCAGCGCCGGCGAGCGGCGAGGATGAGGCAGCGCCAACAAGCGGCGAGAGGACGAGAGGACGGGGAGAAGGCAAGCGGCGAGGATGAGGAGGCACTAGCAAGCAGCGAGAGGATGAGGCCGCTGCCGGCAAGGATAGTCGAAACATGGGGAGCGGGAGCGGCCGCGGCCGCCTCCGGCGAGGATGTTTGCGGGGAGGTTACGGAGGTCGCGGAGGGGAGTGGCCGTCGCCGAGAACGGTCGCGGAGGCGGGTGCGAGCACAGCCGTCGGCGGCGAGGACGCTCGCGGGGAGGTCGTGGAGGTCACCGAGAGGCGCGGGGAGCGGGCGCGGCTGCTACCGGCGAGGAGGCTCGCGGGAAGGTCGCAGAGGGGCACGGGGAGCGAGTGCGGCCGCTGCCGTGGACGGTTGCTGTGGCGGGCACGGGCGCAGCCGCCGCCGGCGAGGACAGTCACGGAGGGCGCGGGGAGGGCGGAAGAGCTCCTCCTCTCGCCGCTCCTTCCCATCCGCCGCTGTGCTGCCCTCCTCCGGCACCGTGCTACCGTCCTCCAGCTGCCCATGCATCCGCCATCGAGACGAGGACAACAAGATGAAGACGGAGACGGCAAAAAATGCGACAGAGAGGACGGAAATCGTGATGAAGTGACATTATTCTAATTTTAGAATATTACAGTGGCATGCATCTACCCGATTTTATGAATAGTAGTGCCTTTTTTTTATTTGTTACATTTGTAGTGGTATGGATCCAATTAACCCAGCCCTTGGCATAAGAAATGAACACTGGCTTACTACAGTAGCCACATTGATTCTGCAAGAGAAAAGACATACACGGCAAGAGTGGTCATGCACAGCAAGAGTACGCATTGGACTGGTCTCAACTTGTGAACCATGAAGTTCTGAATGGAGAAATGGAACTAAACAATGGAGCTAAAAATTATAGTTTCTTAACAGTAATGAACACTTAGAAGAAAGAGGTTTTCAGCAGCGCCATCACTTCATCGGTAGTCACGGCTGTGGCTTCTAGTATTACTTTTTCGATAATGTTATCCAGTGCAACCTCTTCGTGACAGATCTCTCCGTGATGTTTATTATGCCAAGGAAAGGGGCCGGGGGTAACTTATTTGTGGAAGAAAAAGTGTAACAGGTAATGACATATGCAAATTAATTCGCCTTGATGTTGTACAACATTATTCATCTATTAGCCAACATTGCTACAGCACCGTACGTTTGATACCAGCTTCTAGCTTAAGCTACTTCATCGATTTTCGTGAACATACTTTCGAAACCAAAAAGAACGCGTCTTTTATAAGTTCAAAAAAAACACGTCTTTTGTATAAAAAAAATTCTGTACAGAAGTCCTTTCAGAAAAACCAAATACATTCGTTTTTCATGTTTTTAATGATTGATGTTTAATTAATACTCCCTCCGTTTCAAAATGTTTAACACCATTGACTTTTTAGCACATGTTTGACCGTTCGTCTTATTCAAATTTTTTGTTGTAAAATATGTAAAAATATATGTGTACATGAAAGTATATTTAACAATGAATCAAATGATATGAAAAGAATAAATAATTATTTAAATTTTTTTAATAAGACGAATGGTCAGTCAACGGTGTCAAATATTTTGAAACGGAGGGAGTATGTGCTAAGGTTAATGGCCCCATCGTTTCGCTTATCCACAGAATAAACCAAACAACATATTTGCAAACGAAAAGTAATTTGTGAATAAAACTTTTATATATGTGTTCTTAGCGATTTAAAAAGGCTGAAAAATAAACTTTCATGAAAAAATAGCCCAGTAGCGAATAGAGAATTGCCATTCCCAATTCCTCGCGAAGGCGCCAACAAGTAGCGACCTCCCATCGCCGTGGTCGCCGCCGTGCCCGCTCACCGCATGACTGCATCCGATTAGCCGAGACGAGGCCTCGAGGGATGGCGCTGACATGCGACACGGCACGCGGCCGTGTGCACGAGGGGAGCGGATCGACCATCAAGCCATCGAGTGCCGCGGCCGCAAGTTGAGTTGAAACGCATCTGATCTTCAGCCAGCATGCGGCTCTCCAGACTCCTTTTGCAGTGGAGTCTGAATGTGTGCGATCATTTTTGGTTGGACCGGCCTGAATTCAGGCATTGGTTGATGTTTTTTTGTCATCTGATATCACAAGGTAAGTCTTTCTGTCGATTTTACTGGAACTTCTCCATGGGCCATGGCATCTGAATCTCTCAATAACCACACAATAATGGTGAAAAGCATGCACGCCATCCCCATCCTCGCATTCCGTATTGTCATCGATCCCCTTTCCTCTCTCGCGCGCCGCCTTCCAGTCTTCTAGATCGCCGCTATCGTCCACCAGCCGCTTGTTCTCCGTAGCGGCGGCACCAAGCACCAAACACCATCCCTATCCCTGCCGGCATCCCACCGTTGGCTCTATCATCCCAGGCCTTTTGTGCTCATCTCCGACTCTCCGCCGGCACAAATTCCAGTCACTGCATGGGTCTTTACCGGTTCGGCCCCACATGTCAGCGGGAGAATCATGCACTAGCTAGCAGCTCCTTGTGCGAGGTGAGAAGGCAATCGAGGCCGTTCCCCTAGCTTGCGCGTGCAAAGCAATAAAGCCTCAACAGCCTGAACCAATAGTCAACTTTGCCAGTCCGGATAAGAGCAAGTTTTAATAGCATAGCCAACTACTAGCTTCAATTCATTTATAGCCAATCTAATAGCTTATTTATATAATAGTTACATACTACATTATAAATCTGATTTGTAGCCCACTGCTCTTCCCTCTCCTTATTTATCTCCTTAAAATATGTTTGCAGCTGGCTTATAGCTTGCTGTTGTATCTGCTCTAAAACTGCATAGTAACTTAACCAATCTAATTGTGGCATGAAGACAAAGCTACTCACAAAAATACACAGTGATATCTATGGAACACCCAGGATCATCCAACCTGCCGCCCTTGAAGAGGTTAATATTAAATTCCCCTAGCCATATTTGTGTCATGCATGAAAACACAACAACCCACTTCCTTTACAATATTAATAGCCTTTGTCTTTCTCAGAAGCTATCATCGGCTGATCAACAGTAGTCTCTTTTCTTTTTTGGTTTTAACAATTTTTCGCATATAAAATATTATCTACTTACAGTGTTAATTTCATCGTCGCGAAGTTACTTTAAAAAATTCTATCTCCATAGGTACAAACTTGACATGGTATTTCAAATTTTGTTAAGGATCCAAAATATTAACACTTGGAGTAAATATGATGATAACTAAAAATCAATTTACAATACAGGGACCTTTGTTTACAACATGTAATAGAATTGACAACACAAACATGCATGCCGGTACACCATAATCCCACTTAAAACGTGATCAATTGATTCAGTGTCACGCACTCACACTAATTACTCTGCCGTGGTGAAATGCCAAAAGTGCAGAAGATGACTTTTAAATTTTATTCTTCATAGTGGTGATTAATTTTCCTTCAAACCACGTGAGAGTGGGTTACGCAGCACGATTGACTCTATTGTGACTCCAGGTCCAAAGGCCAGCAACACTCCCCACTCAGGTTGTTGCTGTATGTCTTGTTCCTTCTCCCGACGGCGCCGTAGTTCATCAAGAACGAATGCAATTGTTGCACCACTCATGTTCCCGTACTCGCTCAACACTTGGCGGCTTGCCGCAAGCTTACATGGATGCAGTTGGAGCTTGTCTTCTATGTTATCAAGGATTGCGCGACCGCCAGGGTGCACTGCCCAGAAGAGGTCGTTCCAGTTAGGATCTGTGTTTCCAACAGATCGAAACGCATTGAGCAAGCACTGATGGATGTTGTCCTTTATCAGTGTCGGCACCTGGATGGAGAGGTGAAAATCTATTCCACTACTAGTGGCCTGCATGCCGAGCGCGTGCTCGGTTCCTGGTATCATGGTTTGTGAGGCGGCAACCATCTCGAATAGCGGGCACTCACCATCGACTGAGGGATCGGCACCGACGATGACTGCGCCAGCACCATCCCCGAACAGTCCATGGCCAATGATTTTGCTTTCGTCTGGGGTAGAGAAGCATATCAGTGTCAGCTCGGAGCAAGCTATGAGGACACGAGCACCGCGGTTATTCTCGGCGATCTCCTTTGCGAGTTGGAGTGCCCTGCCACCACCTGAGCAACCGTGGAGACTGAGAATGGTGCGAGAAACGGAAGGGCGTAGTCCGAGCAACGAAGCCAATTGGAGGTCGGCACTAGGTGCACGACAGCCTGAGTAGGTGCTGAAGATAAGGTGAGTGATGTCAGTGGCCGGACGGCCCCACTCAGCAATGGCTTTCCGCGCAGCGGACTCAGCAAGCTTGGGGACCTCAGTAGCCACGATGTCTACACGAGTTTCAAGGGAGGGCAAATGTTTGTCAATGATCTCTGGGTGGACACTGATAAGCTCTGCGTCAAGGTGGATGTAGCGCTTTTCTATACCAGATTTATGACCTGAAATGGAAATAGAAACTCACGTGTATATTTGTTATTACTTGTAATCGTGAGGTTACATAAAAAATAAAACATATTATTGGGCATTTATACATGCTTCAAATTAAAATATGAATACCAATTATTTTTTGCTTGAATAATTACATGCAAGCACTTTCCTTAAGAAACTTAACCACACATTTGATTTCTCTGTATGCCCTATCCAAATATTTAGGAAGATATACATGTTTAAATTTTCAGAAGAGCGTCATAGTACATGAGTTTTATTCGAACAGTACATGATTTGTCTGACGACGTAGTCGTGCATCCATAACTCTACCCACTAATTTCCAAATCATATGTGAGTGCTATTTCAGTAAGATGCATGGATTAATCTTTGTAAGTTTCCTTACTTATATGTACACGAGTTCTGTTGCTTGCATGTGTGATGGTAGGGTGAGGACGCGACAATAGGTGGAACAGCTATCATATTTAACAAAACCATGACAGTAACAATTATTTTTTTGTTCGAACAATTAAAAAACTAATATATGATATAATGAAAGCACTTTTCTTAAGAAAATTAAAATCACACATTTAATTTCTATAGGTCCCTATCTAAATGTTAAGGTTTATAGCCTTGTTTTTCTCTACATACCATAAATATATTATTTATGTATGGTTTATAGCGAATGATAGCAGGATACTCCGCGATATGCAAGCATTTGCAAATTTTTCATATTAGAGTTAGTAAAAAATGATTAATAATAATGATGATAAGTGCAATTATCGATCTACTTACATATCCTCTTCATCTTTTCCTTGAGCTCGGTAAGGTGCTCGCTTTTGGTTAGACCAAAGTAGTAGTCGGCAAAGTTATCCTGAAACATGATGTTTTCCGGGTTTGCAGTGCCGATGGCGAGGATCGTTGCAGGACCTTCCGAATGTTGTGTGCCGCGGCGGCTGTCAACAATAGCGGCGGTAGTTGCTCCAGGCATGGTCGATGGAAAAGGAAGAACTTGTGCTTATGGAATTAGTTGCTTGTAGAGGAGAAATAGGTGGATATGCGATGCGTCTATGAATGAAAACTCTTGCAGTTGGCTGTT